TGTCTGTGTCCTGCCTCCATCACTAACTCCCCTTTTCTGGCTCTTCTTCCTCATCTGCTAACCAAGTCTGTGTGGCCATCTTAAAGGGATGAAGACTGCCCCATTATAGACAGGCAGGGCCTGGGAACACATGGCCCCCAAAGGCCACATTGGTCCACTTGGGACAAATGGCTCTCAAAATGAGGGTCCTTTCTCTCGGCCAGAGTTGTGCCTGTCCTCAAGCAAGGGGAGACCTTCTCAGAGAATTCTCCCTTTAAGATTGTCTCCTCTCACCCACCCCACCCCAGGTTTTGGTCACACGTGTTGGGTTCCTTTTCTGGCCCTTTCCCGTCGTGCGCATGCGCTATGAGGAGGCTCCACCAGGGTTCAAAGTGCATCTGAGATCTCATTCAGGATCTCTGGGGCTTTCTGAGCTTCAGGGCTGTGTGACCTCTTCCCTCTGGCCTACTGGATGGCAGAACTTTGGAAGTACTACTAGACTTTGGGGTCTCAAGGTTTCACTCTGACTCCTCCAGGCCCAAGGAACCTTTTCCTCATGAATAAGGCACAGCACCCCTTCCTGACAGCTCCTGCAGAGATAGGCCCACTCCCACCCCTACCCCAGCACACCTGCCTCCAGTAGGATCTGGATGAATCAAGTCTCTTCTCTGGGCTCTCTTCTCCCGATATGGCCTGTGACTTCCAAAGAGCCGGGAGCGGGGATATTCTAGGGTAGGGGTATTCTACTCCCAAGCCCTGGTGAAACAATGGGAGTTCCCACCCTCACTGAGGCATCTGCCTGGGCTAGATCCTGGCCATTTCACCCCTGGCCTTATTCTCATCCTCTCTGCAGGCCTGGGTAGGTCAAACACGAAGCGGAAGACCAAAGGCCAGGTTGAGAGCACTGGTCCACCAAGTCTGTCAGCCCAGACCCTGCTCTGGGGCCAGGACACCTGGCAGGCAATTGATGCCACAGCTCATGGAGAAACTGTCCAGACAGGGTCTTCAGGCTTCCCCCATTCCCTGTTTCTCCCACCCAGCTCTTCACTGCATGGCTGTCTGTTGCCTCCAGTGGGGGCAGGCCCTGCAGGGGGCCTGGAGAGAGCAGCCGAGGGCTCCTGCCCTTGCACAGCTGGGCTCCCTGCTCGCGTGCGCTTGTTGGCCTCCATGTGTCTGTAGTGTCTTTGTGTTCCTTTTACATGTGCTGCTGCTGCTGCTGCTGCTCTCACTCCTCTCACATCCCTCCCCTCTCTGCAATCCCTGATTTCCCAGCTCCAGGCACCCATCTTCCAGCCAGGAGCTGGAGAAGCCGCTCAGCGGGGCCAGACCTCTTCCCCACCCACCCTCCCAAGGTGTCTGCCCTGCCCTGCCCTCCGTCCTCCCTTCTGTACGAGCAGATGGCCTGGCGGGCCAGCAGGTAGGGGAGTCACAAGAGACCGGAGGAGGCGGCTGTTTGTACTTATCAGCAGGCACCCATTCCCAGGCATGTGCCACACAGTTCCAGCTCTCAGCGCTTGGAGCCTCTGTAGAGAGGCCTCTGCATACCCCCCAGCCTCTTCCCCCCAGAGGACTACAGCTCTGAGACCTTGGTATATTGGTACAAAAGACCCACTTCCAGCCCCACCCCAAGTACAGAGCATGATCCCTGGCAGAGGAGAGTGCCTCGTGTGGGGCCATGTGCTCAGTACTTCTGTGTGCACAGCCGCGCCCCTGCCTCCCTGAGCAGAGGCTCCTGCTCCCCAGCACAGATCTCTGGGAGTGTGGGGAGGGACAGGCCCCATATGCTGGGCTCCCTGTTGGAAAGGGACAGTCAAGCTACCAGTGTGAAGTGCTGTGGAGCTACATTGGCCAGGTGATGGGCAAGTAGCCTTTGGGCTTGGGTCCTGCCCACCCACTGGTGGCACCTCCCCAGACCCACCCTCACCTGGGTCTGTGGCGGCGGAAGGAGCGAGAGATCCCAGCACTAAACTCTCCCTCGCTCTGTTTTTTGAGGAACCTGAATGAACCTGAGAGCAAAGACCGGGTGGAGACGCTCAGGTGAGAGGACTGGAGCCAGCACTGGCCCTGCCCGGGCCACCGGGCTTGCCACAAGCCTCCTGCTCCTCTCTTCCTCCTGCCACTTGGCTCTTCCTCTGGTGGTTCTGCCCTGTCCCCACCCTCTAGAGGCCTCCCTTTCCTCAAAGAATTTCCCTTTCCTAAATCCAACTGCAGTAGTTCTGGGCCCTTCTCAGATCTGGTATATTCTGGAAGTTGGTGCCCTGGTTTGGGTGGTTGGGGCTACAGATTCCTACCCCTTAACTACCTCGCCTCTATGCCTCAGCTTCTTTCTGGAGAGACCGTCTGTGCTCAGTGCTGTTGAGCACACTCATTCTGCCCTTGGCCCTCCCCTCTTCAAAGAAAAGAACTGATAACAGCATGGAAGTGTCACCCCACCCCCACCCCCCACCCCCACTTCTCCTCATCCTTCTGTATCCTGAGGGATGGAGGGTCAGAGGACTGCCGCCCTCTGCTCCCCCTCGGACCAGGCTCTGACAGCTCCCTCCTCCAGCCTTGTTGCCCCCATGCTCCCTCGTACTGTCCTCTCTGGTCTCAGGGTCCGTCTGCCAGGGTGGCTCTTGTGGGTGAGGTGCCTCAGCCCCCACCTGATGTCGCCTCTGCCCTCTCCGCAGACCTCACATGGTGGGCAGCGGGGGCAATGACAAAGAAAAGGAAGAATTTCGGGAGGCCAAGCCCCGCTCACTACGCTTCACGTGGAGTATGAAGACCACGAGCTCCATGGAGCCCAACGAGATGATGCGGGAGATCCGCAAGGTGCTGGACGCAAACAGCTGCCAGAGCGAGCTGCACGAGAAGTACATGCTGCTGTGCATGCACGGCACGCCGGGCCACGAGAGCTTCGTGCAGTGGGAGATGGAGGTGTGCAAGCTGCCGCGGCTCTCTCTCAACGGGGTGCGGTTTAAGCGGATATCAGGCACCTCCATGGCCTTCAAAAACATTGCCTCCAAAATAGCCAACGAGCTGAAGCTTTAACAGGCTGCCACAGTGGGAGGCAACAGAGGTGGGCCAGCTGGACTTGGCTGCTGGGGCCAGCCGCCCGCCCTGCCTGGGCGACACTGCAGCAATGGATTGGTGTGTCTCCCCTGCTGGCACTTCTCCCCTCCCTGGCCCTTCTCGGTTTTTCTTCCATGTTTGTGGGGGATGGGAGGTGGTTCTTCCCCCCCACACACATTCACCCCTTGCCCAGAAGTTCCCCCTTGCCCTCTCTCTCCCACAGGAGGCAAAGGAGGGGGGGGGCAGGGCTCCCCCTCGGTACTGCGGTTGCACAGAGTATTTCGCCTAAACCAAGCAACTTTTTATTACCAAAAAGAAAAAAGAAAAAAAAAAATCCCAGCGGCCACCTTTTCTCCCTGCCCCATTGGGACAGTTGAGACTGGATCTGTGGGGTTTCCTGGGAGGGTGGCTCAGGGCTGGAACACTCTCAGGCGAGTGGTGGAGTTCCCTGTCAGGCCCTCCGCCAGGCCCACTTTGGGCTTCCCTCTCCTCCTCCCCTCCTTCCCCTCCAAGCGAACCACCAGAGGTGGCCTTCCCCTGACCTCAGGCACCTGGGCTGGAGGCCTGGGGGGCCGGGGCGGGGGGCAGGGGTGCTGTGCAGCCCTGAAGTGGGTGGGGCTGGCGGCTACTCTGGGGCTGCCCGGGCAGGTGGGCAGGCCAGGGTGGGCGCGGGGCTCTGGCCTCCCTCCACACTGTATACTTTGCCCCCCACCTTCCCCAGAGCTGGGCATTTCCTTCCACAAGCTGCTGTGGGGACCTTTGTTCCCGTCCTCAAAGTCTGTGCCATCTTCTCCCACCCCTCCCGGGTAGAGGAGGGGCTAACCCCAGGGATGGGAGAGGGGAGGGGACTGCAGGGCAGGTTGGCTCCTCACCCCCAGGGCGCCACTTGGGCTGCTAGTCTCCAGAACAGGGATGCTGGGCATTCTCCGTTGTGGGAGAGCCTTTGTCTGAAAGCACAGCCCCTCGCCGTTCCTCTCCCCCACCGCTTCCCCTTCATTGGCATTAATCTGGGCACCAGCTAGTTCCATAGCAGTGACTTCCCTCACCACACTCATTCATCTCTTGGCCTTGCCTTTTTTCCCTGACACTGTCGCCCCTCCTCTCAGGAGACACTGCCCAGGGCCTCCACAGGCTGGATCGGGCAGCACAGCTGGGAGCGTCTGCCCTCCACTGGGTGGCGAAGTGACTCCCAGCTTGCAAACTCGTGGCCAGTGTGGGAGTGGGTGGTTGTGGGCGCTTGGCTGGTGGCGGCCACTGCATCCCTTAATTTATTTCTCTGCTGTTTCTGTTCTTGAGAAATTGGGGGAGGGAGTCCTACACAGAGGCTGCCCCGACCCTCACCTGAGTTGTACATTTTTTTGTGATGGGTTTTATTTTTTATTTTATTATTATTTTTTTGATTTATGATGACTCCACCCCTGTTCATCACCCCTGTTCCCAGGCCAGGCTCAGTGACAGGTCGAGCCCTTGGGTCCCAGGAAGGGGCCTCGCCAACCTCAGTCCTCCTGCCCCAAGCTGCAGCTCCGGCTCAGACCAAGGGCTCCCCCTCCCTCTTTTCCCCTCCTGCCCTATGGAACAGCCCGGGTGCTCTGAGGGGGCTGGGAGGACATGGCTTGGCTCCTGAAGCGGGTGGGGGCTGGGGGCACTCAGGCAAGGTGGCCCCTCCTTGCCTAGCCCCCCTCCCCCCACCCCTCCCTTCCCCCCTGCACTTAGTTTCTCCTCTGGATCAAACACGTAATAAAGAGAATGTTTGGAATCTGAGCTGCCTCCTCCTGTTTCTTCTCCCAGCCAGGCAGGGACCCAGTCCCCTGTGGGCAAGATGTGGCCCAGCCTGCCTGCCTTGCAGAAGAGAATTGATTCCTGTCTGGGGCCTGGAGAGGTCAGTGCTGGGTGGGCCCAGCTCCCTCCCACCCACAGGGCACAGACAGGAAGCAAGGCCCAGGGCCCTTACACCAAAAGGGAAAGAGGACTCAGCAGGCTTGGGAGATTTTATTTATTTTTTAAAAATGTTGAAAAATAAATCCATGTCTGCATAAGTTCCCAACCCCGCTTTCTCCAGGCTTTTTGGAGGTGGGCATGGTGGGTGCCCTCAGCTCAGCATTTCCCATCTGGCCCCTTAAGACAGAGCTTCCCTTCCAGCCTCTTCTGCTGTCAGGCCCCAAGGAACCTCTCTGCCCACCTCCTCCCTCAGGCCCCCCATCTCACCCCAGACTTATTGCTAAAGAAGGGAAAGAGGAATGAGAACAGCCAGCACACCGAACTGTCCTTGCCCCCAGCCCCATGCTAAGGTCACTACCCCTTACACACAAAAGGCAGGGCCTAAAGGCCAAGCCCCAGCAAACTAGGAGGCAGCCATTCCAGCCCCAGCCAAGAAGCAGAACGTACCCTCACGCCAGCTCAGAAGGCCCCCGAGCCCCAGGCCCTGTCTGTAAGGGGACAGGCTCAGCTGCCAGGAACACACAGACCCCACAGGTCCAGACTGTGCCAATCGGCAGCTCTGGGTCTTTGAAACACCTAGCAAGAGCCCTGGTCCCTTCCATCCTTAGTGACCTGGAGATGCCTGGGAATGTCCAGCAAAGGTGTTCCAGAGCCTCTGGTTCATGGAGGACCTCAGGGCTCAGAGTGAGGGTGCTGGAGGCTCCAGAGGGGCTCCAATCAGGGTGGGTGGGGGTTGAGGGCCTGGGCGGGCACTGTGGCGGGAGGCAGCCAGAGCAGGGCGGATGAGAGGTGGTGGGGGCTGGTTGGGGGCCAGCCGGGGCTGGAGGAAGCGGCCCTGCTGCAGTGGAGGGGGCTGGCGAAGCAGAGTGGGAGCTGTGGGCAGAGGTGGCCTCAGCAGTGGAGGCGGCTGGGACAGCGAGGTGGGAGGTGGAGGGGGTGGTGGTACAGGGGGCACCGATCGGGGAACAGATGTGGAGACAGATGTAATCTGGACCTGAGGGGAGAGAAAAAGAGAAACAGGCTCTTTCAAACCCTCAACCTCTAAGGACAAAGCCTCTCCTCTCCTCTCTGAGGGGTCTCTCTCGCCCCCTTCTCACCTCATCATCTTCCTCTAGGGCTGGGGCTGGCAAAGGAGCCCCTCTCCTAGCCTCCTCCATGGGGACCGGGACTCCAGGGGCCCCATCCTGCTCGGCCTCCCATTCCTGCAGCACCTCCTCCAGATTGAAGCGGCGCCGGTAGCTCACAAAGAAGGTCTTCACCTGGGTCAGAGTCTTGTTCCCAATCACCTCTGCAATAGCCCCAAAGTCTTTGCCATACCTACGGATGGCTGCAAGGGTCAAAAGGGCAGCAGAGTGTGAATACCCCTTAGAACTAGTTACTTCCTTGATCCTTCCCCTCTACCCCCAGCTCCTTGGAGGGTGGGGAGATAGGTTCCTGGGGTTCTCTCTTCTGTCCATGGGCTAACCCACCTTGTACAGCCAAAAGTTGCTCATCTGTGGTCCAGCGGGAGTTGAACTTGATGTTGGCCTGAGGAGCAAGGAAAATATCCTTTAGGCTCAAAAATCTGGAAATGGAAGGCCCTGCTCCCTAAACAGAACTCTCCTTTCTGCTCTGCCTCCAGAAAGAACCCCCTTTTGCACACAAACTTGAAGAGCAGCCTTACCTCAGGAGGGCGGAGTGGGTCAATGCCACCCTCCAGGGCTTGGCGGAGGCTGCTATTGGTCTGCTTCATGCTCTGCACCTGAGGAGGCCGGGAAATGGAGCAGCATCAGACTCTCCATTCCAGGGAGGTCACCGTCACCAACCCTCGCCAGGGCTGTTTCTCAGCAGACACCCACCCCACTTTCCCCAGCAAAGCTCTCTGCCATCCACCATCTAGCCATTTCTCCTTCACAACTCTTTAGTAGAGGAAGTGAGAAGACACAGAAAAGGCCCAGAAGCCCAAAGGATGGGGCAGAGCCAGGCTTGGCACCCAGGCCATCCCCTTTACACCTCAACTGCCCCCAAAACTTATTTCCCAAGTGCTAACTGCACCCTCTGCACAACCCCTTCTCTTCCCGAGTCCCCACCTGGCGCTTCAGGGAGATGAGCTGGGAGTCAAGACCCCGCAGAGTGATGCTGGCGAGGTCCGGGCTTCCTGACACTGCAGTGAGGCCTTCGGGGCTCAGGTACATGCCCTTGGGAGGGCGTCGCCGGGTTCGCAAAGGGTGGTGGCGGTACTGAGACACCTGAACCTCCTTCTTCCCTGGGCCCGGGCGTGCATTCAGGGGCCGAGAAGGCAGAGGCTGCCAGGGAAAGGAGAGGGGTGGGGTGGTGCAGAGCCCGAGGAGAGACAGGAGGGCAGACAGGGCCAGGCCAGCTCTGGGGCCTCACCTCTCTCTTGGGGTCTCCAGCATCTGGCTCTCCCTCACTCACAGCTCCTCGTCCCTCTTCCAGCTCATCACTACTGATACAGGGGCCAGGGAGGGAATGAGGCAGGGGCCAGGGACTCTGTGGGCCCCCACCCGGTGGTTACCCATGCCCCCACCTGTCTTCTTTGTCCTTGCGACCCCCCAGCCGCCGTGCCTGTCTGTCCATCACACTGGTTCGGCTGCGGGTCTTCTTCCAAGAGTAGTAATACTTCACCAGGCTGGGAATTAGCTTGTCCGGCAGCTGGAGGAGGCAGTGCCAGAGGTGGGGACCCACCCAAGACTCTGGGCCCCAGATAAGCTCATCAGAAAGGAGGGGCTGAGGAGCGCTAGGCGGGGGTGGGGCGGAGGGGGTTACCATCTGCTGAATCCGCTGGAAGCACTTGCCATGGAAGCCAAAGGCCTGTTCAAACAGCACTTTGTCCTCTACTGTCCACTCGTCAGGGAATGGGGTGAAGTTGGCCAGGTCGGCCAGTGACTTCTCCACATCATGCTTATGCCACAGGAGCATGCCCAGTGCCTGGCCCAGGGTAAGGGGCAACTCAGGCTCAGCTGCCCCCAGCACTGTCCCGTCCCCACCCTTAAATCCCCGCAGGGCCAAGGCTTACCTGCTCGATGTTGTAGCCATGCTTCTCCTTGGCCATCGCAATGTATTTGTCAACTGCAGGGGCGGGAGAAATGGGGTCTTGGAGGACAGGGTTCCAGCTCCTAACCCCGAGCCGCAGGGCTGGGGTTGAACCTACACACCTCAGCCTCCAGCCCACTTCTGAGAAGAGCTGATCTTGGCGGGGATGAATCCAAGCCCCCACCTCCCAGGGAAGTGTATGAACCAGGATCCCACCCCACTCACGCTTGGCATCTGACACACAGTGGTTGGGCGACCACACCAGCATCCCCTTCAGTTCCTTGTTGCTGTAGCGTGCTGGGCTCTCTGGAAGGTGGAGGAGCAGGAAGGAAGACACTCAGATCAGCCAGGTGGCGCTAGCTTGGACCCATGACCAGAAGGCAGCAGAGAAGCGGGGGCCTGGGAGGTGAGGCCCAGAAGGGAAGGAGGGGCAGAGACCCAGACAGGAAAGCAGAGCAGGAAAACTAACCATGCCACAGGGCCACCTACCCCCGCTCACCCGCCTGTCCTCTGAGTGGGTGCCAACCAAGGGCTTCCCAGGTGGGGCCGAGGCCAAGCCATCGGCCTCCATGCCCCTCCCTTCACAGCCTGTCCTGCCACTCACCAGGCTTGCACTCCGGAATTACAGCCTGGTAATTGGTTCCAACGCGGATCATGCTGTCTGTGGAGCCAGGGGAGGCAGTCAGGACTCCAGGGAGGGAGAGAGGGAGGGCAGGAGGATGTGGTGGGGGAGTGACTGGCCTGGAGTTCTCCTTCCTGACCACCCAGGGCCCCCACCTTCCAGGAGGGCTCACTTTTCCCTGATCTTCTCCCACCTCCACTCCCCCCCCAAGCCACAGTAGGACTGGAAGAGGGAGAGACCCTGCCTAGTCATGGCCATGTTGGGGGGGTACAGTTTGAGCCCAGGCCAAGCAGAGCGCTTTGTTCTGGCTGGGGGCTGGGGGGTGGGGTAGAGGGCAGCTCCTAGACCTGGACCACAGCCCTGCAGGGAAGCCACGGCTCCTCCCCACCACATGAGCCTCACAGCACGGCGTGGAGGTGTCCTTCCAGCCTCTGCCCCAGCCAGACCCCAGTCCCCTGCAAGGTGGCCAGGTATGAAGGACCCAATCTGTGGGAGGGCTGCCTGGGTCCCTCAGGGACTTGAGGGCAGGGTGGGGGCGGGCAAGACCATCTCCCCGGCAGCTAGGGGCCCAGCCTCTAGATTCCCTGTGCCCGCAGCCCCAGGCTTGAAGGAGAAGCACGGCAGAGGCTCCAGTCCAGGTGGTGCAGGAACCATCAGTATAACAGACCGGTGGTCTGCAACTCTCCCCCCGCCCCACTCCGAGCCCCCAAGGCCACCGTGCCTTTAACCCTAGGTCGCCGGGCTCACCGTGCGAGTGCTCTTCCTCGCTGCTGTCATCCTCCGAGTGGGGCTGCCCGCCGTTGGGCGCCGTCTTGGCCCGGCTGCGGGACAGGATCCCGGAGCCCGCGCTCGGTTTCTCCATCACCGAGGGCATTACCCCGCCCAGCTGCCCCGGGGGGCGCGGGAGCCTTCGGAGAGCGAAGGTGGTTGCCGCGCTCTCCTCGAGTGCCGTGCGCGGCCCGACCTGGAGAGGTCGCCACTGAAGCTACGAGAGGCGGGAGGTCAGCGTGGCCAGGGTCCGGCGGGGCAGGAGCCCAGCGGCCGGCCCCAGCGCTCTCCGCGACCCCCACGGGCGAGGGCGTCAGAAAAGTTTGTGCAGAAGTGGGGTGCGCGGGGGATGAGCGCAAGGTCCGGTGCGGCTGGGGCGCGCTCCCTCCAAACGCCCCTCGGGGTCGGGGTTCCCCAGAGAAGTCAGGGCGCCCTGCCTTCGGGGCGCCCCGGAACCCTAGCGCCCCCCTGCCCACGCCATTCAGCGGGCGGGCGCTGCGGAGCAATTTGCGCCCCCCGCGGGCTCCGTGCCTCTCGGCTGCGTCGGGGATGCCCCAGTCCCCGAGTGGGGACCCCGGTCCTAACCAGACCCCTGCCCGCGACGGCAGCCGGTGGGGCCCCGGCTA